TGGGTTAAGATTTCTTAGTAGTATAATAGGTGCATTGACTTTAAGTTGCAGAGAATGTGTAGGAAATCCATTAAAGTTTAGGAGGTTCAGGTATTCAGTTGGATAGAGAACCTCAGTGTTGCCGTGTTTCCCTGGATGAGGAACGATAGAGTCAACACTGGTGTAGGTGGTAGTTGTTCCATGATTCATGTTAATAATGAGTGAGTTAAGTTCGTCTACTGTATCATTTTTAGGGCATACGATTGCTTTTGTTGACAGTATTTCTGCTGTTGGGTTTTGTAAAGTGTCATTGTCATATATGAATTGGACAAGTTTTGTTAATGCATAATCATTGGGAGGTATAAGGTATTGGTTGGGAATTTGTATTTTTTTGGTATTTTGTGGGTCTGTTGTGTCGGGTGTTCCTTCTTTCCCGTCGCCGACATGAAGTAGCCACGATGAGAATGTTGAAATCATGTGTTGGTCTTGTGGATTAAGATTTGGCCTTTGAAGACGCATATTTTCGTTCAATTTGTAAAGCTTGAAATATTTCCATAGATAAGATCTTGGTAACGAAGATGCTAGGATTGTTGACTTTGAAGATTTAGGTATTACCGGAAGTGTCTGCCTGAAGTCGCCACCTAGTAAAATTGATTTTCCGCCAAAAGGTTGATGTATATTATCAAATAAGTCTTTCATTGATCTGTCTAATGACTCGAAACATTTGCGATCATTCATTGGTGCCTCGTCCCAAATAACGATAGATGTTTCAGTCAGTAGTTGAGCAAGATGAGTTTTTTTGTTTATGTTGCAGGTGGTATTATCTGTTATATCTATTGGGATTTTAAATCGGGAATGAGCTGTACGACCTGAAGGAAGAAGTAGAGATGCAATACCAGATGCTGAAACCGCCAACACAATATTGCCTCTGGAATGTAAGCCTGAAATGATTGTTGTCCATAAGAATGTTTTTCCTGTTCCTCCATGTCCGTATACAAATGCTAACACTTGTTGGTTTGAAGAGATAGTAGACATGACATGTTCATAGATGATTTGTTGTTGACAATTGAGGCGTGAGCGACAGAACTCATGCTCGGATGCCAACAAATGTCTATCATAATTTTTCTCCTCCATAAGCAATCTATTCTGTAGTCGTTGAAGTGAATCAGAATTTGGTAATGGTAAGTCGTATTCTGATAAGGAGGAAGGAGAAGATCATGAACGAAGTAGCAACTCTAGCTCATACAACACAAATTGTCTCAGGTCATCATCATTTGTTATACCAAAGTTTCGTTGTCCATCATCCGCCATTCTGTGCCATTGTTGATTCCATAGAAGTATAGGATATGATATTTCACAATACAAAAGCATATGAGGGAACAATGATCGTAATTCTGAGGCAGTAGCCCAATTTGAGGCTTCTTCAAATGTAAATGTCCACTCTTTGTCATCACCTAGTAATCCTAATTTTTCACATGCACCACGAAATGTTTGACACAGTTCACCATTCACTGTTCGTATACACTCATAAGATCTGCAACCCTTTTGATGAGCTAAGAGCATACGTAGAAAAAAGGTTTCTCCGGAACGGGGATGTATGTATATAAGCCTTCCTATTGCAGGAGTTTTCTTTGATGATCGTCTTATCCAACATTTATTTGCTGCATGCCATCTGTATTTAGTAAGATAATCAACGTAGGTAAGATCTCGACCTCTGTTGTCATTGTTATTATTGCATAACCATTCTGTAAGAGTAGTGCGACTGTTGTATGTATTTTGAATTATGTTTTGTTGTTGAGCATTATCGCTAAAACTGATATTTTGCTTGTTTTCTAGATGAACAGCGAGCACCTGCACAGCTGGCTTTCTATCATGGATAACAAAATTAAAAATTCTCCATGCGGCTTCATGTGAGCATATAAATCTACCATCAAGGAAGTTTTGAATTTCATTCAGATGACGCTGATTGTTGTTGTCAGTAGTGGAGTGAGAATTTGTAATTGTATAATGCACACGATCAGCACCCTTTGATATATACTTGAAGAGATATTTGATAAGCATATTCCAACCACAATATTCAACGTTGATGTGAGCCATATAATGTAAACATAATTCACGGTTGTATGGCACGACATATCTATTGTCTATTTTCACATTGTTCTTAATTACATGAAACCGATTCGGTTGTCTTCTGTATTGAACATACCCGTTGCTGTCAAATGATGTTTCTGGCTGGTATTCTTTTGGATAATGTTTAGAACATAAATCTGACACCATACATGGTGCACGTGGGTTAAGTATACCACACGGTCCATGTATCATGAGATCTGTAACAATCTTATACATATGAGGTTCTATAGTGGGATTTGATATTTCAGCGGATATCTATCTATCAATTTCATCTGCTTTTTTTTATTCTATATGGAGGAGTAACCCATAGTAGTAAATGACAATGTGGAAGTCCTCTCTTTTGAAACTCAATCGTGTATAAATCTGCGTAGAAGTATTCAAGAAAGTTAAGTTAATGTGAAGTATAGGGAACTTTTAAGGTGAAGAATATTAAGTAAGAGGAGGCAGTTAAGAGTACCTGCGGCTACTTCACCAAAAGGTTTTCTGGAGTTGAGAAAGTCAATCAGTGATCTGACCTTTATTTGGAAGATTCTGGCGATGATATCTGGACGATCTTGTGCTTTGAGGGATGGAAATTGTGATATATATCTTTGAATTTCAGGCCACTTAACATTGCATGTAAATGTGATGAAATACTGAGGATTTCCATGTACTCGACAAATAGCTAAAGCATCTTGGTAGTGCTTGTACATGTATCGTGGGCCACCTACAAAAGACGATGGTAGTATAGTCCTTGTGCCGATATCACGACCTTCAGTATCACCACGTTGAACTGCATCGTGTACGCCCTGAAGAAATTCAGTACGAAAGACATTTTGATTCTTCCTTATGTAGTCAAGTCGACTCTCTTCAATGCATACGTAGGCGTCCACCAAATATTGTTGTAGAAGGCGACCTGCCCTAAGTAGTAGTGTATATAAGTTGTACCGATCATGTAACATATAACTATAGTACATGTTGATGGTCAATTTTTTGTGTTGTGAACTATCATCTCCATGAAGAGTTAGGTTTGGTGACCATCCAGCATCACCATAAATGAAAAGTAGTGGGTATTGCAATGCCATGTAGAATGGGTGAAGTTTGGTTATACGTTGAGGGCTACCATCTTTGTGTCTAATAATTATGTCAAAGGTGTTACATGTTGGGTCATCATCATACACAATTGCACCGATACAGCCAGGGGATGGTCTGTCATAACGTAAAGCATTTTCCGAGCTATAAAGACAGACGGTAAAGGTGGGTGCATCGATCGTGGAACAAATATCTCTAGCTATTCGAAAAATCTTAATCAATTCATTCGAAGTGTCTAAGGTTTTTAGAAGAAGGGTAACCGTTTCACGATTCAGAGGTGTTCGATTTTCAAAAGTAAAAGCACGAAGCCTGTTATCAATTTCAGTTTCAGTGTCATATACGTACATCTGCAGGAATCGTGGTTTCTTGGTAGGTGGTGGTATTCTTTTGGCTGGTATTCTTTTGGATAATGTTTAGAACATAAATCTGACACCATACATGGTGCACGTGGGTTAAGTATACCACACGGTCCATGTATCATGAGATCTGTAACAATCTTATACAGATGAGGTTCTAGAGTGGGATTTGATATTTCAGCGGATATCTATCTATCAATTTCATCTGCTTTTTTTTATTCTATATGGAGGAGTAACCCATAGTAGTAAATGACAATGTGGAAGTCCTCTCTTTTGAAACTCAATCGTGTATAAATCTGCGTAGAAGTATTCAAGAAAGTTAAGTTAATGTGAAGTATAGGGAACTTTTAAGGTGAAGAATATTAAGTAAGAGGAGGCAGTTAAGAGTACCTGCGGCTACTTCACCAAAAGGTTTTCTGGAGTTGAGAAAGTCAATCAGTGATCTGACCTTTATTTGGAAGATTCTGGCGATGATATCTGGACGATCTTGTGCTTTGAGGGATGGAAATTGTGATATATATCTTTGAATTTCAGGCCACTTAACATTGCATGTAAATGTGATGAAATACTGAGGATTTCCATGTACTCGACAAATAGCTAAAGCATCTTGGTAGTGCTTGTACATGTATCGTGGGCCACCTACAAAAGACGATGGTAGTATAGTCCTTGTGCCGATATCACGACCTTCAGTATCACCACGTTGAACTGCATCGTGTACGCCCTGAAGAAATTCAGTACGAAAGACATTTTGATTCTTCCTTATGTAGTCAAGTCGACTCTCTTCAATGCATACGTAGGCGTCCACCAAATATTGTTGTAGAAGGCGACCTGCCCTAAGTAGTAGTGTATATAAGTTGTACCGATCATGTAACATATAACTATAGTACATGTTGATGGTCAATTTTTTGTGTTGTGAACTATCATCTCCATGAAGAGTTAGGTTTGGTGACCATCCAACATCACCATAAATGAAAAGTAGTGGGTATTGCAATGCCATGTAGAATGGGTGAAGTTTGGTTATACGTTGAGGGCTACCATCTTTGTGTCTAATAATTATGTCAAAGGTGTTACATGTTGGGTCATCATCATACACAATTGCACCGATACAGCCAGGGGATGGTCTGTCATAACGTAAAGCATTTTCCGAGCTATAAAGACAGACGGTAAAGGTGGGTGCATCGACCGTGGAACAAATATCTCTAGCTATTCGAAAAAGCTTAATCAATTCATTCGAAGTGTCTAAGGTTTTTAGAAGAAGGGTAACCGTTTCACTATTCAGAGGTGTTCGATTTTCAAAAGTAAAAGCACGAAGCCTGTTATCAATTTCAGTTTCAGTGTCATATACGTACATCTGCAGGAATCGTGGTTTCTTGGTAGGTGGTGGGCATAGACTACCAAGCCAGTGGTGAATCTGGCCTGCAATCTTGAAGACATATGGGCCAACACCGTTGTTTATTGTGTCATCTACCTTCCCACCTAAAGAGGTCATAGAGAACATAGAATTGTAGGCTCGAATGTTTAACATGAATTCAGGTTGTTGGAATAGATGTACAATTGCTGCAGGAAGTTGTGTGTGAAACGGGATAGCCACACGACCTCCTTTGCAACATTGCATGTACTTTGGACGTTGATTATTAGAAGCAGAAACCACACGCTCGTCATACCAAAAGCAAGCACCACAAAATTCACAGATGTTGTTGCAGTCACCATTATCTATGTAAGAAGAGGCATTAACTGATGAAGTACGAAGCATAGTAGAGCGATAAGCAGCCTGAGATGATGATTGACAGTTACGATTCTGATTTGATGTTGAAGGAGCATTGGATGGGTCAATAGAATCAAACTGTTGTCTCTTTGTACGTGGCATTTGTGTAGGACAGCAAGAAAGCAAGTAACTTTTATAGATGGAGGTAACACCAAGAAAGTAACATAGAAGCAAAGTAGTTATATGGAGAGATTTACGACCAAGTTTCAATAGACATAGATAATAGAAAAAACAATAACGGAAGTAATATGTGAGTAACGTACATGTTTTAATTCAACAATTTTACAATGATGTAAGCATTATTTAAAGTTAAATCTCATATATATTTTGTGATTTATTTTTAATCTCATATATATTGTGCGACATTTTTTTTTAATTTTTCATTAGTAAAGAAACATATTTTGTATAGTAGAAGTAGATATTAGATAGTCAGTGGACAGGAAAGCATACCCAAGTGTAATGATGGAGATATTGCAGCAAGAAGTTGTAGGCGGTATTGGTATAAAGTTGCGGAAGATGGCTGCGAGTATGATTAGTATCTACGACAAAGAATAGTCGTACAATAAATATTTCAAAATATAGTACAGATTGGCAACACATAACCATAGATTAGTTGGAATTTAATTTATAAAAGTGTAATTTGAAAGGATGTGATGTTGGAATGGGTATTCTGTAAAGCTGGTTTTAAATCCAACAAAAAAATATCTTTCCATATCTGGAATAGACATTTTATGAAACATGTGGTGTGTGTTTTTGAGTTTCCAACAAAAAAATATCTTTCCATATCTGAAATAGACATTTTATGAAACATGTGGTGTGCGTTTTTGAGTTTTGTCAAGGTTGGTCTTCAAATATCTGTGATAGGAGGCTTATCATTTGAAACTCCAATGAAAATTAGGATGGAAGTAGAAGAAATTGAGAAAGCACATCTTATCAAACAGGTGGTGTGCGTGTTTTACTTTCTTAAAATTTTTGTAACAAAACGGCCCTACCAATTGAAAGTGAAAGGGTTATTGCAAACTGAAATTTGCATGTAAGTGGAGAGCGACTCAGAGAAAAGAAAGAGGTGATTAAAACCTGAAGCAGAGGCTTTGGTCTGAGGAGCGATGATGGTCAACACCGAAGGCGAAGCACGATTACAGCAGTGAGGTGTGTGGACGGTCGGCGGGCGTGAAGGTAAGTCGTGTAAGAGAGCAGGAAGAAGACGGTGAATAGAGGCGGTAAACAGAGTGAATAAAGGTAAAGCAGGTAAAGTAGATAAGGAAGATACGTGGCAAAATCGGGAAAAATAGAAAGGACACGATAGCAGCAATCAAGGGATAAAAATAGAAGTTGAGATGAATAGTGAAACCCCTCACAAACCAATTTTGGTAATTAATATATATATAATAATATTAATAATAATTTTATAAAGTGACTTTTTAATTTAGACAGAAACCAAAACCATGGCTTTTTTCCTTGACTAAAACAACTATCTTCTCTTCGCGAACGATTAAGAATCCTCTTTGTATGCGCGTTCTCTTTTGTTTATTCTTCTAAACCACCTATTCAAAAGTTTAAATATAAAATGTATATCAAAATAACCATTTACGGTTTTTTCTTGTTTTTATTCCCTTTTATCAATCTACTTCATTTCTTTTGATATCTAAATACAAACTTGCCTAAAAAAATATAATATTTAATATTCTCTCTCTCTCTCTCTCTCTATATAATATATATATATATATATATATATATATATATATATATATATATATATATATATATATAGGTTCAGGTTCATTTGAGACCATTCTAATTTTGTGAGACCGTCAGACCAAATCTAAAAATAATTTTAAAATGGGAAAAATCCAAAAATTCTTTTTTTAAATATTATTTTCGAAACTTGAATTAACTAAAAAAAATAAAAAAAATAAAAAAAAAAAAAAAAAATCCCGTTTTTTTTTGAAAAATACGTGAAATATTCTAATAGAATATTACACTGACATATTCTAAAAAATAATTTTAAAATGCAAAATAAATGGAAAAATCTAATTTTTTTTAAAATATTATTTTCGGAACTTGAATTAACTAAAAAAATAAAAAAAATCCCATTTTTTTTGAAAAATACGTGAAATATTCTAATAGAATATTACACTGTACATTCTAAAAAAATTTTAAAATGCAAAATAAATGGAAAAATCCAAAAATTCTTTTTTTAAATATTATTTTCGGAACTTGAATTAACTAAAAAAAATAAAAAAATAAAAAAATGTGTCTCACGGTCTCACAAAATTAGGTCGTCTCACATGAATCTAACCCTATATATATATATATATATATATATATATATATATATATATATATATATATATATATATTAAAGCCTATGGCAACAGTAACATTTCAATATTTATAATTTAAACACTATATTTTTACTTTTTCTTAATTTTACCACTAAAGTTTCAACAAATATTTCCTTTTTATAATTTTGCCACTTTATTTTTACTTCTTCATATTTTTGCCACTAAACTTTCACTTTTACTTCTTTAAAACCATTTTTTTTTATTATTTTATAATTTTACCACTTTATTTTTTACTTTTTTATAAGTTTACCACTAAAGTTTTAACAAACTTTTCCTCTTTATAGTTTTGGTACTTTACTTTTACTAATTTTGCTATTAAAGTTTCAACAAACTTTTCATCTTTATAATTTTGGCACTTTATTTTTAATTCTTTATATTTTTGCCCCTAAACTTTCACTCGTGCAACGTACGAGTCTTTTCCTGATTCATATTAATGAATAGCTCATAATTTAGTCTAATATTATCTATGATTAAATAATGATCATTATTTTTGTTAAATTTAGTGAATTGAATTTTTGCAGCGCGTGGTAAAGTGTAAAGAAGAGGGACAACTGTCGCAAAATATAGCCAGTTAGGGAAACGGCAGTACGGGTAGTGACGGCCGCTGCCACTTTTCTTCTTTTTCCCAGCACCCTATTTACTAACGTCCATTCACCGCCGTTTACCTCTCCCTCCCTCTTCTGCAACAACAACAACAGCACTTTCTCTCTCTTCATAACAATTCGCCATTAACACGACTATCCTCTCTCTCTTTCTTACAGTTCACGCCAAACGCCTGTTCTCTCTTCATTTCATTCTTCTCTCTTTCTCTCTCTCTCTCCAGTATTCACACACGCACTACTGCGAGTGTCATGCCTGGTGCTACTGTCACTGTTACTCCATGAACAGCTCAATTTTGAGGTAATTTGACTGTTTTATTTGGTTTCAAGGAAGAAACTGCGTTTCTCTCTGCATACATTGTTGCTGTAGTCGATGATGGAGAAGAATATAGCGTTTCCGACTAAGAAGGTGCTTGGATTATGTGTGTTAATGGCGGTTTTACTGACTCTGGTTCCGTGCACGATGTCTCTCAACGACGAAGGTAATTTATTAACTTCATAGAATACACGAGTTCTGTTTTCTAGCATTGATTTTTTTTTTTCCTTTTGGATATGTATGCTTGTGTTTGTAGAATATGTAATACAACATATGCTGAAGGTTTCTGAGTGATATTGGGAGTCGAGTTTTTCTGTTGTTTTTATCTTTTTAAGAAAGCTGAAGGTTGATATGCTCAGAGAACGAATGGATGAAACATCCGATTCTACTGTTTGGAAGAGAAAGTTTCGAAAACAGTATTTTCAGTCAAACGAGCAGAAACGACAAATTCCGAAGAGATAATAACTTCAAACAAATTCTGCTTAGCAATTTTAATTTTCAAAATTTTTGTTATTAACTTTTACAAATTACATTCATTACGTTTTGTTCTAAATTTCTGTTGAATATTTTAGTAGTAAATTATTAATCGTTTTGAATAAATGTGTGCAGGAAAAGCAATAATGTCTATAAAGGCGTCGTTTAGCAATGTCGTTAATGTGCTTCTGGATTGGGACGAAGATCAGAACGACGATCTCTGTTCATGGAGAGGAATTCTATGCGACAATATCAGCACAACTGTAGTTGCTTTGTATGTTGCTCATCTTCAAACTTGATCTCATTTTCTATATGTTTTCTCGTTTTGATTTCACGTTGCTTAATCCATTGTTCCGAATAGGAACTTGTCAAATTTGAACCTCGGAGGCGAAATTTCTCCCGCCATTGGAGACTTGAGAAATCTACAGTCTGTGTACGTATTCCAAATCATATGAGCATAATCTAAATCAACCGTCTCTCTTCACTTTAATCTGTTCTCATCGTTTGGTTTACTTGATCTACAGAGATTTGCAGGGAAACAAACTCACAGGACAAATACCAGATGAAATAGGCAGCTGTGTTTCTCTAGTGCTCCTGTAAGCTTCAAAGCTTCTTCCATTCACATTCACCAAAAATTGAAAGTATAAAACTAAAAACATATTTTTCTCATTCTGTTTGTCCATAATGCAGCGATTTATCTGACAACATGCTGTATGGTGACATACCTTTCTCGATCTCAAAGTTAAAGCAACTTGAACTATTGTGAGTTAATGCTATGTAAACCCAGAAATTCAATTATAGCGCACACATTCGTCTCTTTATAAAGCGATAATGTTGCTGAAAACAGGAACCTGAAGAACAACCAAATCACAGGCCCTATCCCCTCAACACTAACTCAAATTCCGAACCTTAAGACTCTGTAAGTTATCTACTCATCTTCATCCTTTTCCTCATGAAAGTTCAAGTTCTTAACGTTGAAACTTTTTCTTTTGTTTAGGGATTTGGCTCAGAATCAGCTGACTGGTGAGATACCAAGATTGATTTACTGGAACGAAGTATTACAGTATCTGTGAGTTTCATCATTCATGACACCTTACAACTTAAATTAAATTAAATTTTAGTCATCTTTTTGTAACTCTGAACATGTTTTGGACTTCTTTTTTTACAGAGGTTTGAGAGGCAATTCATTAACTGGGACTCTATCTGCTGATATGTGCCAGTTGACTGGCCTTTGGTATTTGTAAGTCTTCTATTTTGACCATGAATTTTATAATTTATCTCTTATCTCTTCTCTCTTCTCATAAATTCTTCACATTTCTTCAGTGATGTTCGTGGAAATAATTTGACTGGCACAATTCCAGATAACAT